GTTTCCTAAGAAACATATGCTGGATATTGTATACTACATATATGTTGGTTCATCTCACTTTGTAAGTTTGTGGCTTGAAACTCTTATATTTTAAAGGTTTTGGAATCATTACTTTGTAGGATGATTATAAGATATTTCTGTGATATAAAAACATAATTTTTTTTCTAGCAGGTGATTGTTTTTGCACATTTGTGTTACGTTTTTATCTTTTTATTTGTAGGTACCAGATTTTCAGAAATCTAAATATTCTGTCCAAAGATTTATGCAAAATATCAATATATTTAGCCAGTCAGTTTCTGACTTTTTTAATATTCAAATATCAGAGGACCATCAGTTTACAGCTGAATACTCTAGAGATAAAGAATATTTGTAAGTATTTTAACTTTTTCTTGTTAAGTCAGTGGATCAGTCAATAAACATATTTCTAGCTTACATTATAATGCACTGAATGATATGAGGATTTTAACATGATGGATAAAGAATGACCTCTTTTAATTGCTTTAAGCATCAAAGGTGATTACAATGTAATTTATCCACTCATTAGTAAAAACATTTTGATATAGTCTAAAGGGCTGGGTAATTAATCAGTTGATCTAATTGATTGTCAATGAGCATTGAATAGTGCCATGTGAAATAATCAATTAATTGAAATTATGGTGAAATCAATTAATGTCACAAATAATACAACTGATTGAAATTAGAGTTTCCAATTATTCCATCTATCCAAGTAATCAAAATTTTACCATTATGATTTCTTATTATAATTTGTTTTGATTAATTCAAGTTTGTTCAACTTTAGGCTAGCATGGCCCAGTGGTTATTGTGGTTGCCTAGTAATTTGAGGATTGCATGTTTGATTCCTGTTGCTGTCAACCATGCTCACCCTTTCAGCAGCAAGGACATTATATTTTTTTCATTGTTTTTGAGTTATGGCAAAGCTATTAAAGCTACCTTGTATCAGCTCTAATTTTGAACTGCTGCCCACAGGGATGCAACCTACCAGCAGTCCCCACCACCAGCACTAGAGCTAGTATTTTTTGATAATGAATAGTGGGATTGTCTATGACACAACAACTATTAATACTTCCACTGGCACAACTGTACATGACAGTTGGCTTGCATTCTGTCTGTGAGAGAGTGGTTAGTGGCTGTTGTTTACCTAAGTAGAAAAAGTGATGTTTGGTCTAAACAGTAGTGTAGCTTTAACTTAATATATTGCTTACTTATTATGAGCAACAAATTTAATCATTGTTTCCTAGGGTAAGGTTGATTTAATAAAAAAAAAAGTTACCAGCACCTAAATATTTAATATTCTTTATTAGCCCCAGAAATATTGATTACTGAATAACTTGTTCATTTTATTATTTTTATCAGAAATGACTAGACATGGACTAGTAACAGTAACAATATGTAACACCATTAAGTCATTAACCATGCACACCTTGTGTGGACTGATGGTTACAATTTTCAGCCAGATATTCATGATTTTAACAGGCAGCATTCAGGTGTGACTGAGGACTGGCCTCATGGTGATGATGCAAAAGTATTTGACTATTTTGAGGCCTTCTTTGACTAGGAATTGATGTCATTTATTGTCACAGAAACCAACAAATATTACAGGTACATAGTGGATAACTTTATATTGATGGGTAGGCAAGTGTGTAGGAAATGTACGTATTTTTTGGCCTGCTTTTATTGATGCCCCTTTTAAAAGAAACATAGGCTCCAGGATTATTGGAAAATTGACCCATTGATTGTTACTCCAATTTTTGGAAAATACGTGACCAGGTACAGGTTTCTCCTCCTCCTAAGTTTTTTACTGACAATTACTTTGCTGACAATAACCATCCATCTATGAATGATTGAATGTGGAAACTTAGGGAAGTGTTTGCTATGAGAACTTCAAGATTCGACAAATTCTTTTACCCATTCTCTAAGCTAGTGATTGATGAATCTCCAGTTTTGTTCAAAGGTAGGCTTGTTTTCAAGCTGTATATAACATCAAAATGCCATCAATTTGGAATACAACTTTTTGTTTTATGCTGTTGTGAAACTGGAATTGTCTTAGATGCGATTGTGTATATTGTGTATACTGACATTGGCATCCCAAAAATGACCATCTTGGAATCTGTGCTGTGATGAAGCTAATGGCAAAGTATATGGGAAAAGGGCATTTATTATACACTGATAATTAGTATTCATCACCAGATTTGAGTAATTTCATGCATGCACAAAATACTGGAACATGTGGAACCATGAGCAAAAACCGGAAACACATGCTAAAGTTTACTGCACGAATTCAGCATGGCGAATGTGAGCAAAGAAAGTTGGGTAAAGTACTAGTGATGAACTGGCATGACAAAAGTGATGTGACAGTGATCAGTACCTTTCACAAAGGTAAAATGCAAGACAGTGGCAAAGTGGACTATAAAACTAACAAAGCTATAGTGAAACCAGATGCAGTGATTAACTATGCAGAGTACATGAGGCTTGTTGACAAAAGTGATGTACAGATTGGAGGGGTAGAGTGTGTGATAAAAACACTGAAATGGTATCACAAACTCTTTATGCATATGCTTGATGTCACCATCCTTAATGCATATAATGTATACCTGGTAAAATGTGGAAAAAGAATAAAACTAAGAGAATTTAGTTACAATGTTGTGTTTCAAATTCTTGAGAAATATGGAACACTTGTTGCATCAGGCCAGGGACGATGCAGTGTGAATCTACCTGACAGACTCCTTGCCAAAGAGTGGGCTAGACGTCACTTTCTGACACAAACAGAGATAGATAGAGGACACCATAAACAGGTGACATATCAGGTGTGCTTCACTTCATCATTACAAAAGTGATAGAAGAATAAAGTATCTACAGTCTGCAAGGATTGTAAGCTAGGATTTTGTTTAGATTGCTTCAAGAAATACCACACCATGAATTAGTACTGAAATATAATGAAGTAGAAATTGTACATAGTAATGTGAAAATGTATACACTTAAATGTAATGTAGTGAAATAGAAATTGTACACAGTAAAGTGCAATTGTATATAGTGAAGTGAAATTGCACACAGTTGTGTGAAAATTTATATAAGATTGAAGTGGAAATTGAACATAGAATAAATAATAGTGATAAGTCATGCTAAACACTAGTAAATTGATGTCAAGAGTATAGGTTACTCATCCCTTCACACTCCTCCTCCAACGCCTTGCCTTGCTGTCACTCCTACTAAGTGCTGCTGGGGTTGCCAGAAGCCGGCAATATGCCATATCCACAACCTCACCATGGCAAAACAAAGCTGGACAAATGATGTTTTTCTTCATAGTCCATTGCTCTGCATGCTCTTCTTGAATTCTACAAGAACAAAATATGTTTTTAGCAACGTTAATGTTTCTGTGTTTATCGTACACATGAGGATATAATTAAATTCCCTTTGCCACATCTAATAGGTTAATGGGCCTGCCACAACCTTCTGTAATATGTGTTTGCATATCTTATTATCTTTTTTACATAAGTCAACAGGAAGAAACATGCTTTCAAGACATCTGCTTTCTTGCTCTATAGAGCTTTTCCTGTTGGGCTCACATCCATTTTTATCTGGTTGTTATCCTGCCATGCTCCAGTAACTTTGAACTTAGTGGCAAACTGACTATCTTGCCCAGACCTGATCCTTCAAGCAGATGGTTCTTACATCTTCTGGTGCTTCAGTAGATTTATGCCTACTTTGGGAGTTCTTTTATTGATGTCTTTATGACTCCTCTCCTCATTCTTTTTGTTAACAGTCCTGACTCTACAGCCATAACAGTGGATGCTCTGAGTTAAAATTGGTACAATTTCCTTCTGTTTATGTAATCTTCTCTTAACATTCTTCCAAGGGTGCTGTCTCTAATTTGCATTACCTCTCCATTGGCCACCTAAGTCATGGTTTCTTCTCCTTTGTGTCTATGGTTCCGCTTACTTCAGCCTTGAACATCTATCTTTCATCATGATGTGTCATGCCTTCGCTTTCATGTGTGACTTTTGTCTAGTTCCTTGCAAGATAGGCAGGATTTGCATCACACTGCAGTTTTGTCAGCCTCTGAAGTTTTTCCATCAAGTTGCCATTCTCCAATTTTCCCAGAGGCTCTAAGGAGGTGTGTTGTACATAAAAACAAAGACACATTGAGTAGTTGGTGTTGCCTTGTGAGGAATACTTCTCTATCCTAAAATCTACATTGAATAGGGGATAACAAAGTGTTAAGCCCATCTAATCCTACTCAGTGCCCATTATTGAGATGGGAGTTTTCTACAAGACTATTTTCAACAGTATATATATATATATGTTTCTTTACTTTCCAAACCCTAATGTTTAAAAATAAGAGTAGCTAAACAGTCATTCAGCATGACAGCTTCTGCATTCTTATTCATGGTAACCCATTACACAACCTCTCAGTGAGGGACCTTATGCAGGTGAGATGGTTTTTGTTTGGTCCACACACGTCTCCAGCGTTCTTCCTTATGTGAATTCTTCTCTCCCAATCTCGTGTAGTAAAGCAGGAGAGTTCCTTTTCACGTTGATGTAATCCCATTGGTGTGAGGTCAAGTGGGTGCACCTCTCTATCTGAAGTAGGGAAGAAGTGTCAGTTTTGAAGAGTAGTGCCCCTAACACTAAAAATTGGAACATTCCAGTGGTTATTACCATCCAGATGGGCTTTAAGTTGGCTTTGAGAAGTAGATCTTGGTTGATACGTATGTATTTTTCCCATACTGAATGGTTTGACATATTGGCTTATCTACACTTAACTTGTATGGTCTGCCAACCCCCTGGGATACATATGGAGGGGGGGAGCAATTTTCACATTTTGTCTACTTTTGAGACACTTTAGCAAAAAACATAAAGTTGTTTTGACAGATCCTTTATAAATGACTACTTGTATTTGGCAAAGAGTATTTCTTGTTGAGAAATATGTGATCTTTCACAGAGTACTGTTCCCAGTATGTTCCCTACCCACCCCACTAATGGGTGACACATTCCATGAGCTCTCCTTTTCTATCACTAGAATTGCAGAAAGAAGCTTATCTTTTTTTTATTTACTTCTTTACACCATCCTTTCAATATGAGACTCTAGCTAATTTTTTAGTGGAGAGGTTAGTAGTGTAGTTTGAGGTTAACATTTTTCATACCTAAAAATGTATTTTAGATATATACTCACCTCTTCACAGAACAACCCATGCACCCTACATCACCACTTTCAGTGTGTCTGTTTGCCTCATCAAGAATGAGCTTTTGGTTTACACAAAAATGTTCAAGGATGTTGTGTTGCCATCCTGTTAGTGAAGAGGTATAGTCAAATGTTGATTGCATCATAGACTAGTGCAGTACACATTATTATGTGCAGGAGTGATAGCTTTTACTACAGTTTGACACATGTGAAAATATTTTCAGCAGTAGCACCAAAGAGCTAACTAATTGTTCTGTGGAAAAATGAGTATCTATCTGAAATTCATTTACAGATATGGAAAATGTTAACTTTGAGATAATGATCTGGCTCTATGCCGTGTCCTTCATAAGGTCTGAATGTTTTTAAACAGGAAAGATTATAAGACAGTAGTGTGGCTCTTACAGAGGACTTCAATTTTGACAATTTTTGATTGGTCATTGGGAAGATTCTAAGGAATTGAATCCTGTTCTTGCCTATTTTCTGTAGAATGTTGTGCCAGATATTGCTAGTTTCTAGGACTTGTTTGGCATATTGTTTATTGATCTTTATTGTTTGAGTTTCTAGTGTTGTGCAGCATCTGAAATTGTGGACTTTTCCTATTCAAATGTGTGTTCAGCCATGATAGATTTTTTTTTCTGGATGTAAGAGCATTGTTGCATCAGCATGCTTTTTTAGTCTCTGGTAATAACTGTTCTTTCTGTTTCTCCAATATAGAGTTCACTGCAACTGGAGAGGACATTGTAAATTACATATTTTTGTTTCTTAGGATTATTAGGATGTTTTTCTTTTGTCAGGAGATCTCAAAGTCTTGCCAGCTTGAAACAACTCTGATTATATATATATATATATATATATATGCTTACTAACTTTCCGGCACAAGAAAATAAGTAAAGATTTAAAATTCATTTTTCTGTTTTATTCTGCTCAAGATTTGATATTCCAGAGAAAAAAGAGGACTTTTTTAACCCAGGACTGCGTGCTCAAGTTGTGGATTTTATTTTAAAGCGAAAGAGATTCAGCAAGGATCCATCTCAAGCTTTTGCATTTGGTAATCTGAAGCAATTGTATTGTTTGTTTTTGTAAGCTTTGCATTACTGATTTTTTTTATGATGTTCACTACTATCTAATCAAAAACATCTTAGATGTGGTCAAACAAACTGGTAGCCAAACTGGTAGCTACACTTATGGTATTGATAGGAATTTTACAGAAAATATTCGTTCGTTAGTTAGACAGGCTGCATTTTTTGTTCAACTTGGGGCATAATGGTGGAGAAAGCAAAATACATGACCTAGTTAATGAGTGAATGAATATATGTTGTAAAATTCTTATCAATGCTATAAATGTTGTTACCAGTTTGGTGCACCTTTTTTTCACAAGTAAAATTTTTTTGATTAGACATTACGATTTTTTGTCAGTACACACTAACAAACCACAGTAAGTAAGAAACAGACACGCTATAGTAACTAACATTAGCCTTAGCATCACAACCCTATTATTCAGAACAGACCTATACTTTACAGAACAAACCAGATTCATGAAAATATATGGTGGTAGTTTTTCCCTTCTAAAACAGTGTTAATAACTTCCGTTATAGTAACACCATGGAATCTAGATTAACAGTTTTTGTCATCACCCACATGTTCTCGGTACAGCTGTGTCGAGCATCATTATTTATGTTAATTGCTTAAACCTATACCACGTGACACTAAATGTTCTTTAATTAGGAGAATTTCATAAAATTTAACAAATCTGTGCTTAAAAGTTGTCAATGAATGAATAATTAAATCTGTTCACCCATATGATTCTTTTGAAAATTTGAGCTAGAAACCATTAATTTAGTTTGCTTGGCCTAACCAATATTTGTGTATCTGCACTGATTTCACCCTATAGTTTTCGTTACTCCAAATCAACCACCTTTAACCCTAATGATAAAAAACTAAAAACATTCAACATTTACTCTTAGATGAAGTTGTAGTAAAAATTTCAGCTCGTGACTTTTTGCATAGGCATGTGCAAAAATGCTGAAACGGTCGTACCTCCTTTCTCCCAAAGCTATCTCGATCCTGGATTGCCCTCTAAGCATTGCTAAATCTTTTCACTACCAGTCTACTAGTTTTTTATACCCCATCAGTTTCACACCATTTCAGAACATGCTGATCATGTGACTACCCTTTACCAATCACACTGCACCATCTATACTAGTGCTGCTAACTACTACTCTAGAACAATCCTCACTTTCTCAATTGGCATTCTAGTGCATAGACATGTGTTTTAATTCATTCTCCATGTGACAAAAAAATTTGATTGTGCTTGATCACAAATTTATATCAGTTTAACTTCTTGTGTTTCATTTCCATTGTTTCTACTCATTTGTTTTAGAAATATTTCGATTTTTCAAATTCTGATTTGTTCATATGGGTTTTGGGTATAATGCTCATGAAACCCTGGCATTGCTGCAGTGTCCTTGTTTGGCATTGTAGTGCGTCCCCTCATGGGACCCCATGGTGGGTGGGGTCAGTGGGTACTGAATCTTTCCCCTCATATTATGGATCCCCCAAATCCTAATAAAAATACAATATTAAAACTCTGCTCATTAGTAAATGATCATACCTTGAAGACTCTGAACAGCAGTCTGCACCCCATTCTGCACTTTTACCGTGTTTTCTTATTATGCATTCTTTGTCAGAAAAATCTTGAGGGCAAATGTCTTCCTTTTTTATTCAGAAGAGATTAGAGGGGCTTGCTAGCTCTCCGGAATCAGTTAATAAGCTATATTGGTGGAAACATCTACACCAAAACACAGCAAACTCCTCTTTAATTCAAAGGCCAATGGGGATATACATATTGAGGTTACTCCCCATGCTACTTTGAATTTCTCAAGAGGAGCTATTGTTGAGAGGGATTTGAAGAACATCCCTGAGTTGAAGATTCTTGCTGGTTTCTCCAACCAAGAGGTTTCTGCAGTACAACATATCTACAGTCATAAAGAAGGAATTATGCTGCCTACCAATGATGTAATTTTGACGTTTACATCACCACATCTACCTGCCACTGTCAAGACAGGTTATCTGAACTGTAAGGTATGGCTATATATTCCAACCCTCTCAGATAATGGCTGGAGACGGCTTAAATGGGTAATGAAGAAAAACTTTAATATAAGTTTAACATGACAGCAAATGTACAACGTTTCGACAAGGTTTTGTCATCATCCTGATGATGACAAAACCTTGTCGAAACGTTGTACATTTGCTGTCATGTTAAACTTATATTAAAGTTTTTCTTCATTACCCATTTAAGCCGTCTCCAGCCATTATTAGTCTCAAAGTGGGTTCCTCGTCATCGAATTTGAACCCTCTCAGATGTTTCCAGTGTCAGTGGTTCAGTCATTCGAAGGCATCTTGTTGTGGTTCTGTGATGTGTACTCATTGTGATGGCAAAGATCACGATGCCTACAAGTGCTTGTCTTGTTTGGTTCCTCAAATTAAACAACCTCCTCTCACCCACCCAGTGTGGATTCCTTCGACATGGTTTAAGATCAGAGGACTCTGTAGGTTCTGCCATGATTTGCTGTGGCTTGGTAGCTGCTCATTGCCAAGTTGTGTGCCATTTCTCTTGCCCTGGATCATATAGAAGCTATGCAGTACAGCGATTGTGCTATTTACACTGATTTTCTTAGCTCTATACTAGCCCAGGAATTGTTTAACATTAGTTCTCACCCTCTTTTTGTTGATATTCAACAATGATTGCCCCATTTTTCTCTATCTTCTGTCTCCATCCAGTTTTTCTGGATACCTGACCACGTTGGTATTCGCTGGTACGAGCTTGCTGACACTGCAGCTAAGTTTGTCTGCTCTGGTGCTGTCACAGCCGTGCCTGTCCCCATATATGGACTACAGTCCTGTATTCAAGGCAGTCCACTTGGGGTAGGCAATGTCATAACGAGCTTTTCCAGATCAAACCTTCTATGGCTCTTTGGCCATCTTGTTTCCGTAAGGATCGGAAGGAGGAAGTTATCCTGGTTAGGCTACGCATTGGTCACACTTTTTTAACTCATCGTTTTCTTTTATCTGGTACTGATCCACCAATGTGTGTAGCCTTTGTGACAATCAAGTCACAATAGTTCACATTTTACTGTTGTGCCATTGTTACAACTGTGAGAGGCAGCACCATTTTTAACATATACTTTATATGAGTTTACCCTTGACGTTGGACGGTATTATTGACGATGGTGACACTGTCCAACTTGATTGTATTTTTAAATGTTTACGAGTTAGTGTATTTTTTAATTCTATTTAAATCTTGTATCTGAATTTTGGACATATTTTAGTTTCAATTCAATTTATTTTTACATTTTATAACAAATTTAGTTTCACTGTTTTTAGCAGTTGTTTAGCACAGATAGCCTAGTTCCTTTGCATCATAAAATGCCAAACAACTAAACAGTCAGCGATGTCTACTGGGGAAGTACAGGCTTTAGTTCACGGGAAGTTCATGTCTTACGTTCAGCTGATGATTTTTTCCTTTTACGTTACAAATTTTTGTGAGGAAGGATATAACTACTGAGTGGAAATTTCTTTCTATGGCACCTTCCCCCTGTTGCTGCACCTCCATGTAATCTCCTGGGTTAGATATTGTTCTTTTTCCCAGGAGATCTGGGGTAAGTTTTTCAGCATCTATTCCTCACTGCCTGTAGGTATACCCATGTTTAGTATGTTTATGTGAGCTTGTGGTGATTGACTTAATTTCCTCAAACTATAATTTAGGTCTTTCATGTTTTCTCTGCTCAGTGTTTGGTGAGTTCACTTTTTTATAATTATTTTACCATCTATGTTACTTTAGTTTAACTTTGCACATAGATTTTAATTATTACTTTGTTTTTGTTTAATTTTTGCTATATGTACGGGTTTTGTAACTACGGTTAATTTTGAGGGTGTGTTGGTTCATTAGTTATACTTCCTTTTACTGTTTATATTAGTTAGTTTGAAAGTCTCTTTTTCTATACTACTGGTTACATCTAATTGGGGAATAGATTTGGGTCGAATTTTGTTATTGTTAACTGAGTGTCTTTTCATTCTCATTTTCTTCAGGGTAGGTTTACAATACTTTAGGTGTTGATTATTGTTTTATGTTTTAGATCGAATTTCATAGTTTTGAAAGTGTGCTATTTTTATATACTTTTTCTGCACTTGGCCTAGTCCTATGTATGCAAGATGCTTCCCCTGTATGTTTTTGCCCAGGTGGTCCACACTTAGCAAAATTAATAAATATTATGTATCCAAGGTGCTTCCTCTGGATGTTCTTTGCCCAGGCAGACTGCACATGGCCTATTCATATATAATTCACGATATTTCAGCCCTAGACACATCTAATTATTTCGTTTTTCTCTGGCACCATACTATGGCTCACTATCACTGTGTTGGTACTATGGCCTGCTACATGTGTGGACAAAGTATGCTGTATGTTGACAATGGGTTAGTTATAAAAATCCCATACCTGTAATTTTTTTTTCTTAATGTTTTTTTCTGGGAGGACCACACTTGTTGATCTCAATATCATATACAAGGCCTTTCTACTGGTTGTTTTGCCTGGATGGACTGCACTTGAAATACTCTGATTTAACCCAAGGTGCTACACTTAGCACATACTTATATGGGTCTGTTGTCACTTCCATGCTAAACTTTATGTGTTTGTCAATATGGGGCTGTACATCTATTTCCTGAATGCATTGGTGCCTGCCAATTCAGTTGTGCCCTCTTTTTGTTTCTGTGCAAAGAGCATACCTGTTCCATAAGTGGTGCTATATTCCACACCTGTGCTTTCTTTTCATATTCTTGCACACCTATTCTTTCAATGCAGCAGAAGTTAACATTTTTTTACACTGACAATGTATTTTTGAAAGGTACTTACATCCTCTCACCCACTTCCTACCTTTCCTCCCCAATGATATGCCAGTTTTTTTTGGTTTGTATCTCCCAATCCATGAAAGTGAAGATTGTTCTAGAGTAGTAGAGGAAGCTAGCTGCACTAGTATAGATGGAACAGTATGATTGGTGAAGGGTAGTCACATGATCAGCACATGTTCTGAAATGGAATGAAAATGAAGGGCTATAAAAGACTGGTGTGCTGTTAGTGAAAAATGCTTAGAGGACAGTCCAGGATTGAGATAGCTTTGTTTGGATGACAGGAGGTAAGTAGTTATCAAAAATACATTTTCAGTGTAAGAAAGTATTAACTTTTGGTCAAAATTGAGTAGTTTTTGTTGAATAACTTTGCACATGTGGCTCATAGTTAGATCAAACGTGACACCTAATTTTAGGTTGTAAAGATATGTCAGTGTACCAAATAAACAAAAAAAATCCATGAAAGTTAAGTATGTTTTTCTGTCAAATAAAGTATTCATACTTTCAGTGTGAAGAAAACTAAAGGAAGAAATTCAATCAAAGTTTGAGATTTTATATCTCATGTATTTCTTAATGGATTGCTTTGAAATTTGGAATGTGAAGTAAGAGTCCAGTAGAGCAAATCCACTAGAAATATATGATAGTTTGGAGTACCACAGTCTGAGCTATAGAAGGTGGAAAACTGCTAAACTGTCACTCCTGTTAATAACACACAGTTTGTCCTCAGGTTGTTTTGGCAGCACGACACACTGCCATGTGTCTTAATTGCATTATGTTGAGTAATTTTGTGTTTTTGCATGTTACAACACTTAGTGGAAAAAACTGATTAAAATAATTAAGTGAAGTCACTGATTTTCTATGCAAAATACATAGGGGACTCTAGCACTAATTAGTGGAATTATTTGTAGTATTGATGATAATTTTTTCAACATTGTTTTGTGTGACTTATACATTATTAAGGACCCTATAATCAATGATTATAGTCATGATACCACATAAATTTGGTATTAAATTAGTTTAGAAAAATATGTTTAAAAATTGTAGCACTGGGTATTTTACAGTTTACTTTGTTTTTTCAGTGTGTGAATGATGAAGATAAAAAATAAAACTTATATCTTAGAGAATAAGTTTATTTTTATTTTAGTTATTAATAAACACATAATAAAAATGAGGTTGAATATATATATATATATATATATATTTAATTCATACAAGGATTTACTGTCACAACTTTGTGTGAGGTAAAGTTCTGTCATGTCTGTGTGCTTGTTTTGTAGGTGTAACATAATAGTCAAAGTAAGATTCTTTGAATATAAAATGTACATGTGAAAATAATGAGGTAAAATGCTCTGTTTAATGTCATATTTTAAACTTGGTAAAGCATCACCTTTGACAAAACTTATAATTGACAAAACTTGTAATTATAGATCAATCCAAGCATGACATGAGTTATTGTAACAATAATATTTATAGTTATTTATATTATTTATGCTGTCAAGAATTGTATCTTTAACACTATGAAAATGTTAAGGGTTAACAACAAGAAACATTTACAATATATATTTCCTGTAAATAGATATATGCAGTGCTCTAATGGTATGATTGGAAATGTTTGTTTCCTATAAATAGATATATGCGGTACTCTAATGCTATGATTGGAAATGTTTGTTTCCTGTAAATAAATATATGCAGTACTCTAATGTTATGATTGGAAGTGTATGGTTCCTGTAAATAGATATATGCAGTACTCTAATGGTATGATTGGAAGATGTTTGTTAATTCAATGTGTAATGAAAAGGAATTGAAATGAGATAAAATGGAATTACCTAAGCTGCAGACTGAATGGCCCAACATACTTGTTGAGTAAAATATCACCATGTTTACAACTCATGAATATCTTTAATAAAGATATAGTGTTTAGATTTTCGGCTTATAAACCTATATGAGTTAATGCAATGTTTTTCTTATTTAACAATTGTATTAATTTAGTACTTATATTGTTAAACAGTTTTGTTTAAGTATATTGTGCTTTAGTCAGTGATCTCTGGATGGAAGATGGGTATGAAGTTAGTGATAGGATATTATGGAGATGAACAAGATTTTATGTGTATTTTGGTCTATGATGATAAAAAGTAATCAAATTTAAAATAGAGAAAAGAAGATTAAAAATTCTAATATTTTTGAAGGAGTTTAGTTATGTCTTAATAGTAATTTTGTAAATTTATATTCATTTCTTTACTCTTTTAGTTGAGAAACACCTTTTATTTTAAAGAGGCTTTGCTGTAAGAGTTATATGTTTAAGTTTCTTGTGTTTTTTATAAGTGTGTTTCAAACATGGAAAAACAAAACTAATATTTCTGTGACATTTGTTTTTAGGAATAAATAACCTTATTAATGATGGAGTATATAAAGCAGCCTATCCATTGCATGAGGTTAGTAAAACTTCTTCATATGATAGCTTTCACAGTAAATGCCATCATGATGATGGGCAACATTATTGCTTTCTGGGTCTCATTTTTGTATAAGCTAAGCCATTCTTACAAAACAGTTATGCTTCAAATAATTATGTATCTAGTAAAGTTAACATAAAAATGAGGAAATGTTCAAACTAGATGTGGTTGTCAAAGTAAATGTATATAAAAATACTTTTATTTTCAATAATTCTTTTATACAGTGTTTTGGACTGTGCCCTTTCTCAGGTAATGTTGCTATAAAGTTAATGTTAAAAAGATTATCTAAAGTGTTCCAAATTTATAAGAAATATGTGTGATCTGAGGTGAATGACCATGTTATAATAGTACAGATGTTACATGATAAAATATAACAATATTTTAGGCCCTAGTGTGCTCTTAATTTCTTCCTCCTCTGTCAGTCATACTTAATTTGATGGTCATGATTATGCACTATTGCTGGACACCAAAATTCCCATTACAAATGGATCTTAGTGAAGGTTAGCAAGGTCAATTTTTGATTAATTATCTCGAAGAAGTTTCTACATACTTTCTATGTATTGGCTTCCAAGACATGTCTAAACAAATTAAGTGCTCAAAACACCATAGGTGCATTCTGTTTTTCATGGAAGTGTTGGTGTGGATTTACGTGCATTATTTGGAGCTTTATTCTGATTTAGCCATGCTATCTTGGCATTCTGGCCATACAATGCAGGTATTTCACCACACATAATTGATGTTGTTTCATTCTAATAGTAACTAGTGTTCACTTTTACTTTACTGTGCACTTTGTGGAGTTTAAGTCCATTATATGGAAATAGTGGCAAACATGATTCCTAATAAAAAAATGTTCTTTACATTCTCTGTACCATGTTGAAAAATTCTTATTGTCTTTTGATCAACTCCAGATTTTCCTTTTCTTGTCTCATTTCTTCAAGTTCACCTAAACCTTGTTCACTGTTGCAAAAAAACTTTGTTCTTTCATATGCAAAGTATTTTTTGCATAGGTTTCTGCAGTGTGTCCTTCTCTCATCAGTATGTCTGTGAAAGCAATGCATTTGCTTTTGATTTATGTTTCTTTAGTCGGGCATTATTTTTGTAACTTATGCTGTGCACTATAAATTGGAATATGTGCAGATTTGTAGCATTCTGGGTTAGGAGGATTTTATGGATGATAGTGCCTTGTCTGGTGGTTAGGACTCTTGACTCGCAATCTGCAGATCACAGATTTGAATCCCATGATCAAACATGGTCACCCTTTCAGTCATGGGAGCATTATAATGTCATGGTATTTGATTAAAATAGCTGAAGAGTTTGTAATGGATAGTGTTTATTAGCTACCTACTCTCTCATCTGTCACTTCTAACACAGATGGTTCTTGAGTAGCTTTGCACGATTTTGAATGAACAAACAAACTTTCTGGATGAGCACTCTGTAAACTTTGTGAATAGTTGTGGGATCCTGTTTATATGACTTTATATTTTTGTATAGGTGTGCTGAGGTTCTTTTTTTAATGCTATTTACCACATTAGAGGTGTAATCTGTGTTATAATCATCTTTGAAGCTGATGTGTCCCAATCTTTGGATTTCATTGTTATTTTGATGTACAAAATACTTCCTTGGAAAAGATAGTGACATATTTTTATAGGCATAAGTCTGCTTGTGGTGAGTATCATTGCACTTTCAAATGATTGGGAATTTTCTGTAAACCAGATGTGTAGAAGCTAAACAACTTGTTTATTGTACCATAGTTCACATTTATAGGAATACATATTAGTATTTGCAAATTGCTCTTGTAAATTGTCGTTTATCCTCAGTAGTGTAGAGGCTTATACTAAGAATAAGTCAAAATGAATTAATATACAAAGTCAGTGAATTGATAAGGTAGAATTAGAAACAATTATATATTATGAAAAAATTAGTTGTAACATACCTTACAAAAAATCACTCGGTAATTAATTTGATTAGTCATAGTGTTGAAAAAAATATTATTTTC